TATATATACATATATACATATATATATCATCTCAAGTAACTTTCCCGGAATCTTTGGGCGTAGAAGCTCATACAAGTGCTGGACATCAGATTCAGATTCAGCTTACAGAGCTTATAGAGCGAGTCTATCTCACTAGAATTTTTTTGCTGCACTAAAACATCAAGACCATAGACTGGGCAGCTCACCACCCGGATCTGAGCCCCAATGCAACTATTTTGGGGTCTTTTGAAGTGAATGGTTTGCGAACATGGAAAGACATTCCGCTGTTTATCCGTTGCAGGTCAGACAATCTGGATCCTAGCTGAAAGAATACCTGAGTGTTGAGTTTCAGTCATGAACAATAACGGTTGGTGTGTTTTGTAACCACGTGGATAGTTTCGTCACTTCACAGGCACTGATGATGTTACCGCGGCTGGTGATGAAACGTTTGCAAACAAATTGCTAAGCTCGGCGAACAGGCGAAATGGAATAGTTTCGTCGTTTTCTTGGGATGACGTTAATAGCATTTCGAAACCCTAGAGACAAACTATCTAGGATAAATCTATTTAGAGAAGTGTTAATTAAGATCCCATGGGTCTTACCATGATGATAATGAGGTGTATGAAAAACGTTCATTGTGTCATTGAAAATAAAACCCAGTAGGCGAAACAAACTGTATTTTTTTCGATAAATTCATCAACTTGTCATAAACATTTATATAGGTAGAGCATTCAATATTGTTTGATCCTGTACTCCGTAGATCTTATTACCCTCTGTTCAAAGCGATGCTACGTGCGTCAACAATTTGATTAAGCTTTGCTTTGGTTACGACGTTCTTCAAGTCACCACGCTCACATAGGTTGTTGGCTTGGCAACTGGCCTTGGTAGATATAATGTCTGGACGGAAAGCCTCTGATTGCATAATGAGGGGTCAAGCAGTTTGATCTCAACAGCTTCATTCGTGCACAGAAGGACAAAGCGTACGGATTTAGATGATAACGGTGGAATACGATAAACGGTCCTGAACGCTCGACTTATGCCCACTTGGTGATTACTTTCTAATAGGTGTTGGTATATCTCGCATCTCGCTGTCCTCGTTTCTCCGTGTGCTAGCCATGGAGGATGGTGTTCTTTTATTCATTTTGACAATTGTCTTGTTGCCCGGCCTAGGCAACTCGCTTCACAGGAGTAAGTGAGCAAATAGATGCCCCGAGGGGACAAGCTAACTTGGAGATGGAAACGAATTGCAGGTGATGTGGAGAAACTGATGCGAAGTGCTGCCGTAGAGAAAGGTCTACTTAGCGTTTGGTTTATTTCTACGTAGTTGCAGGTACAGGGGTTTTCTGCTTACTGTACTGGTTTCTGCGTTGTTTCTATTAGGTGTTCGTCAATGAAGCGATTCGGGTAATCTTTTTCTCGTAATGCGTTTCTTGTTTGATTCATTTCGTCGATTAGGGGTGTCCGGAGTGAAGATTCTCTGTGCTCGTCTCTCCAGACACTGAACCATGTTTTTTTATTGTTTAATTGATGCAGAACTATTGGAATTAAAGTAGTGTCCTGTCCAAGTTGGTTTCCTGTGAATGTTCCTGTGGGTACATCCATCTGGGTTTCTACGGATACAGACATCTAGAAACGGGATGCAGTCGTTCGTTTCTTTTTCGATGGTGTAGATTATGGATTGATGAGCATTGTTAAATGATGTCAGTATTCCGTTCAAGTCTCCATTTCCATTTCCATTAGTAATGAGGAATATATCATCAATGTATCTATCTTTATCTCTATGATCGGTAGGAGGTTGATGTTTTCCCAACTTACCCATGAGTATATCAGCCAACAGTAAACCCAAAGGTGAACCCATTGCCACTATCTATCGGTTTATCTGTACATATGATTGTTGAAAGTGAATTGCACATCAAGCGAAGGCTCAATCAAATTGCTGACACATGTAGCACCGCTTTGTGTATAGATAGAGTAACAACATCCACCTAGTACAGGATCAAACAATATTCACTGCTCTACCAACATGATGAGACGTGTACACATCATAACGCTGAATGTGATCAATCAATATGGCTGGTTTGGCTTCCGAGAACTTGTGAGAACACACACAATGTGTNGGGGGGGGGTATTGTGAACTTGCGCATAGCTCACACGATTAACTCTATCTAAAGCAAATGTGCAAAATCCTTCCGGGTCAGTGTTACACTTAAAACCAGATTATAAATCAATGTTTGAAGTCAATACACGTCGCAACAGAAACAGGACAGACTGCTGTAGTGTTCAAGTAAAGATTATCTATCCAGTCTAAGTTACCCTGAAGGTGTTGATTTATCCGCTAGACTTAATGCGAGTGCCTGGAATTGCATCAGTACCGGTCACCAAATACAGACGATTTATGTTCCAAACGAAACAAGTTGAAAATATTCTCTAGAGCTTATATCTGATGCCTATCTCCAAATTGAAATGGCTAATGCATACAAAGAACTGTGAACTATCAACGACAGGCTATACCACTCGGATTAAAGTGTGCTATGATCACGTTGCGCCAGGTAACTGGTACAAAATTTTATTGATCCCCCGGGTCTCATTAGCCTATTTGGCCGGTATCAACGTCGTGCGCAAGTCTAAAGCAACTCTGGGTTGAGGGGTCCAATGGAATCCGACTAGTTGTCTTTAAGTTACGTATAATGGAACGCTCGCACTTCATCAAAAAACTAAAATCTCTCGATTTCATTGTAAATATTATCTCCATTATTGTTCTAATTATTATTATTATTATTATTATTATTATTCATACTTTGATTATTACTAATAATAAATACACCCCGTTCAGGTTCATCCGACTTGTGAACTATTAGGCACACACCTTCAAACGAATCATAGTCGCAGTCCGTCCGCGGTGGGGAGTGGGGGCAATAGACGCCCTATTCCAAACAGTGTTGGACAAGTTCCTGTCGATAAACTTTTATCATTTCAATGTCAGCGCAACATGACCCTAGCCTGCCCAAACACGTTACGGTACATGCCTCCTTGGAGCAGTGCTGCTCCATACAGCTAGCTTTCAATAGTTCAGGCGAGGCGGTTACCTACACTTCCGGTTTTGTCGTACGCGGGGTCCTGAAATGACATCAACTGCTTCATGGTAGAAATTCTAGTTCATTCATTGTCCACGAGCGGATCTTTCATCGAAAACCCGTCTTCATTCACACGGCTGACCGACCGCAACCAGCGGTCGATACAATTGCTGCGGGGATATTGATTCGGGAGTAAACAGATACGGCAAATCAGTTTTAGATACGGTGATCCACCATTCCACTGGATAAAATGAAAAAAATGTTAGTTAACCCAGGTTAATGTGCGGACAACTGAGCCGTTAATATCGGCACTAAGACCATTCGAAACCAAAAGCTGGCTGACATCACAATATTAGCGACTGTTACTCCAGTCGACTTTGTTATTTTCGTAAAGATGCGCTGAATATAGTGTGTGAGTATGTGATGTTGTCTGACTGCAAAGTAGTTTTCAAACCTCTACTAGGACAGTTATACAGTGATGATCCGAACATCCCAGTGAAAAGTTGTGCTTAAGTGGAGATTACTGAAGAGCGGATCGAATAATATATGAAGAGTTGCCCAGTTTTCTTTAATCTCCCTACTACCGACCTGCCACATACATAGCCAACACAGAGATGGACAACGGTTCAAGTTGACTTTATGGGTCAGGTTGATGGATAGGATTTCATTTACTCAAACCGGTTGGAACTAGTTTCCATGAAAATAAGCTCTTCTTCAAAACATTAGTCACTTTCGAGACGCCTTTTTACACTATTTAGGTTTCTTAAAACCGTAGCTAATTGTGTTTGGTCGTTTTTGACAATCTATGGACATCTCTTACAAACAGCGTTCCACTGATCAGCCATATTCACATCGTCAAGCGGAACGTTTCGTGGGCATGTTGGATCCGGTTTACAAAAAGAGCTTTGTGGGTGAAAAACCATACAGAAGGGACTGGACAAAGTTTGTAATAGCGTACCGGTCATCATCAATCAGCCATCACTTCGAAAGGATGTCTTACCAGTAGAACCCTCTCTAAGTGCCTCCTCAGATGAAATCAACGCTTCTGCAGGAACACATGAAGAATTGATTGTGGTGATCTTACCTTATGGGATGACGCAAATCTCGGTACTACACTTTACAGGTTCCGGACAACTGTGATGAGTCAAGCTTCCCAGATGACGCCAGCAAAGCTCCTACGCGTTGCAGCTTCTAGACTGCGACCCATAGGCCGATAGAACCGACCGAGCAGAAGCCATGAGGGCCAGACTGAAGCTGTATGACGCCAGGAATACGAACACGCGATTGGTGGATGCCTGGATAACCAACGAACTTCTTTTGTACTTATAATTTAGCCCCCATGATTTCTTCCAATAAATGAACTGCTACTCCTGAGGCATTATCCCTCCTTCCTCGGTTGCGTGGGATACTGCCCTGCAAGTACCAGCGTGATTCAATGCTTACGTGGCACCTGTGATTTCTGATACGTGTATGTAATTTGTGATCGTGCGTACTTCAACTATTACAGTGATCCAACAGATATCACGTTCCAAGACCACATAGCTTCCATAAATGCACTTGATGGACTGTATTTCAATACCACGCGAAAAAATTAATGGAAATTAGGAGTACTTTTTAGCTCCCATTTCTACTTCTTTTGTTGAATACACAATTGCACAAATTTCAGGGGGAAGGAAGCGGCCAATCAAACGGTTATCATACAACACAAAATGAGGAAAGTCACGCGGCAGTGGTGGGATTCGAACACACGTCCTCCGGGGGGTGATAATTTGGTTACTTTACCACCGGAGCACCATTTGTGACCTGATGGAATAGGATCATCTACGGTGTTCTATTAGACAGTTGTATACTTAGAGGAAACTTCAACCATACCAGAGGAGGTTTCGGGTTCGATTCCCAGCTGGGTCGCAGGATTGGCACTACTGCTGAGATCCATCCAGATCAAAACAGAGGTCCACTGTTTCCCAACCAGCCTTTCATTTCACGCTTTAATAACTCAATACATGATGACTTAATGCACCGTATGATATCAGAAATCATTACCGAGTCCATGAAGCTAATAGTCGTGAAAAAATGAAACAATATTTAGGTGTAGTTTAGGATCAGTTTGAATTACCATTGACCGAGGAAGAGAAAAACATTACGGTGTATGTGTGTTCTCGATCCCCCCTTCAAAACAGCTTTCGATCGACCCTCGCAAAAACGTCGTACAAGTCAGTCTCTCTCCCGGGGGAAGGTGATCATCTCAAACTGCACACATGTGCTGATACACACGCACACGCACACGCACACGTGGGCAAGCACCAGAGGGAACATCCATAGCGTCCGATTACATGGCAAGTGACAGCCAATCATTGTTTTATCGATTTATGCTGATCAGTATGCCTGTAAGTAAGTTCCCCCTGCTCATTCATTCAATAAGCGATTCAATAGGCGGGTCTGTGTGTCTTCTCACATCTGGGGCACGACAAGTTTGAATAATTATGCGGATCTTCCCCTGGTGTGTGTGTGCTTGATATCCCAAAGTCGGAAGGCGAGGGAGGGATGAAGGTGGAATTCAGGTTATGGCAGAAGTTTTGTGTTCACTTATCACCGCCACCCCACCCCACCTCCCACACACACATCAGCTGAAAATAAACTCACCATATCAATGGCCATTCGTCGCAAACTGAGTCGTTGCTTTTTGACCAAACTTTCAAACATATCACAGCCCGGTCGATTGAGCAGTTGAAACGCGACGGCCAGATGGTGATTCTCCAAGACCGAGGCATCATTATACATAATAGCCAATTGATCATCTGCAAGGAAAAAGCATGTGCAAAGAGTGTTGGTTGATAAATCCATTTTTACTGTGGATTACTGCGGTTATACGTTACTGATCGGAGGCGAAAACGTCTCGAGAACACACTCTCTGAATTCGAAAAAATGTTTCTAAGAATGGCAATAAATAATATACCAGTTACAACACAAATCAGCTTTTTTCATACAGCATACACAGCCTTATCCCTATAAAGGCTCTATTGATAACAATAATAATAAAAATAGGAGTAATAATAATGTAACTACTAAGTTTGTTAATTTCCCTTTTGGTTTATACGGTTGCGCAGTCAACAATGAGGAAGTTGACTGTAGCCAACATTGGAACTGCAGTGCTGAGCAAGATGAATTACCCGAGGCGGGATTCGAACTCATGGACTCCGAATCACCATAATGGTCACTTCATTCTCGGAACAATTGCCTCTAAACAATATGTTGGTCCTGAGCATTACATCTATCTCCAGTGATTGACTTTTTTATCAAAGTGAATGAGCTGTTGGAGTTAAAGCTCTGACATTCTGATGCTATGGCTAGATTGGGGCCACATCGGTGAACATGTGATTCAGATACCGAAGCAACTGACCCCATCGGATGCAGATTGACTTAACCATACATAAAGTCAAATAACAAATCAACCATCATGAGGTTAGCCGTGTACTACAAAAAAACTTGGTATTTCACATTAGAAAAGCTCCGCATAGAATGCGATAATTTGAAGAGTCCATCCGATTTCCCGGAAGACTAAGTGCCGTCAAGAGTCATGTTCTGTTTTAGTTGCGA